ACTTCATCAGGGTCAACCTTCAAGGAGAAATTTGAATCCTCAGCATAATAATAATGAATATAATATGACAAGTATGACTTCTTAGTATCACACTTACAGGAGCAAAGATAAGGTGTGGACGTGGTGAACAAAAACTATTTGTAGAAGTTTATACATGTTACATTAAGTGCATCAGTTATGTTACAATTACAAGAAGATCATCACTTTTTCCTTTTTCTTTGTCCTTGTGTCCAGATTACACGAAAATGGAGTAATTGACACAAATCTTTTGAGCAAAACAAATCGACACTCACCATATAAACTACCCAATCAAAACAATGAAATGTGTGATCTGCTTTCACAGGCTAAAGTATCAAATATTTGTAGCTCTTACAATCGACATAATAAAGACCGATATATATATCATCACATTTCATCATCTTCATATTAATTTCAGAATAGAAAGGCCCCTAATCCACCAAATATCACAATCAGTACAGCTGCCAATTTTCCCAACATCAACACCAAGTGAACCAGCACAAACTGTAATGAAATAATAACAATGTAGACAAAAAATGTCACAACCTCCGGATGGTATCTGATTCCTCCTTTCATGGGTCCACGGGCATTATCGTGCTGCACCCTAAATCCGATGTACGAAACCAGCTCGCCATCATCTCTAGGGATCGTGCATTCCACCTGATCAAAACCCCACCTTTTGAAAAACCATCTAAACATAACCCCATCAAAAATAAAATATATATATAAAAAAAAAGCTTAAATCTTTTCGCAAAACCCTTTTTCCAGTAAACCCATATAGCAAATCATAAACCCATATAACAAAACATAAATCACGCATACACACACGCGCGCAGACACACACACACACACACACACACAAAACCTTAATTTCTCTGAAAGGGATCAAAAGACTCCTCTCAATCTTGGCGTCAAGGCCGAGGATGCGGGCCGCCCGACGAAAGTTCCGATTGGTGGCAGCAAGAGCATTCATTTGCTTTAGATTGCAGAAAAAAAATGTCCTGCTGCCGATAAATGGCTACTTTTTGAAGTGGTAAGAGGTGAAGAGCAGAGCAAAAAGGCCGATGAAACTGTTTGGCGTGTACTAATATAATAACAAGACTAATTACTGCGCGCAGATGATAAGGCCGATTTATTTTAACGACCTTGGCTGGTCAGGAGGAAAATTATGTGCGACTTTTTCAATCTCCAATCAATTATTGTGCATGCGAACTTATCCATAAATAATGGCAAAATATGTAATCCCGTTACGGAATCATTCCGTCATGAGTTGTAACTGTTAGATCATCATGTAACCATCAAAGATAATTGATCTCATGTTACAAGTTCCGACGAAATAGTTCCGTAACGAGATCGTAGCATCTCCTGTAATTAAGTGTCCATACAAACAAACTTAAAAAATTGACTTATTTGACCGTAGCATCTCCTGTTAGTGAATTTGACTTATTTGATACAGTGAATTGGGAGTGAAAAAAATTGATCTGGTGAAAAAATATATTGATTTCAGATTTTGTGAATATGGATTAAAATGTAATAATTAAAACTCATATGATATCGAAGTAGTAAAATAATTATTGTGAAAAATTGATTATTAAAAATATGTTAATAGATGAATCGTGAATTTCGTTGGAAAATGTGTAGTAATAATTAATTGATATTTATTTAATTATGTTAATAATATTAAAAATAGTTAATTTAGACTAGTTGAATAGTGGAGCTCTAATTAA